TTTCGTAGATGGCTGAAGAGAAATCGTCGCTTGCTGAAGTTCAGGAAGCACCAGCTTCTGAAGCTGCGAGCACTGAAAAGGAGAATTCACCATCAGCGAGTGTCAGTCTTTTCATCTTCGCTTCTTGTTTTCTCGATAGAATATTTCATAAAATCAATTTCTGTAGAATCATTGCTTGCTGGACGAGGTAGGAAAGTCGAATTTTAGAGAAATCGCTTTTTCAGTGCGTGGTCTTTTTTGTTTCAGGTTGAAATACAGACGGATGTAACGGCGCCCCCGAAGATACCCAAACTGCGAATACGAGATACGAAAGGCGCGAAGCGAGCCGAAATCTGTTTTCGCTATTTGGCTGGACGCCTTGAGAATGAGAAAAATGATCAATACAAGTATTACTACTACGTACGTAACTTTGCTGGAAACAGATTTTAGCGCATTCATGTCGTATTCGCGTCTCCAATCATACTTGCTGGCGGAAGAAGAGATAGTAGACGTTTAATTTACTCGAGTGTGCGTTACGAAATCAGCGCATTACAAGCTTCAAAGCATGGTTGAAGTGAAGTACATTTCCCGAATTACATTACCCCCAATTTAGAGTAAGTATAATACTCTCGGTTGAATTACAACTACGGATGAAGAAAAAAGAAGCCGGAGCTGTAGACGGCGAGCGAAGAGGGCTAACGGCAACACATGATTGCTGCCAAAATTTAAGTATTTGATAATACATAATTAGCAAATCGCATCATTCTTATTATATTGTGGAAGATACTTAGAGCTCAAGGCGGGACGATTACATGTAGAAAGCAAGAAACGTAAAGCGGCAGCTGTGGTGAAGTTAGAGGGCTTAGCCTTCATTTTCGTACTCGTATCTGCCATTTATTCTTTCTTCCAACATAAGTGAGTTGAATTTTTTGGATGATTAAATAAATTTCCAGACAATGTTGGACTTTACGAGGCAGTGTCGTTTACTTGAAAACGAAGAAATGATCAGATCTGCCCTTAAGTATTACATAGACGAAGTGCTTGACAGTCCCATCTATGCTTACAATACAGACGACGCAGAGCTTTTGGAGCAATTAGAAGAGCTACTTAAAAGGATCGATATGCCGGAAGAGGACAGTTGGGAGGATGAAGCGATGGAATTTTCGAAGATGGACGCTACAGACAAGGAATTGATAAATGCAGCGGAGGAATACCTCTTATACAGATATGGCGTGAGCCCTGTTTAGAGCTTTTACTTTTGTCC